AAAGCAGCATCCTCCAGAGGGGCAGTGATCAAGTTTTCCTTTCATTTCTCTGACAGGTAAGTTTTTATTAAAGCTTAACCTCTTGCTTGTTCTTTTATTTCCAGTTACTGTCCTCATAAGTTCACGAGTTCTCTATCTTTGGTGGGAGTCATAAAAGTGCCAGCTCTTCACTGCGTTTCTCAGCCGCCTTCATTCATAAGGGTACAGTCCTTTATCATTTCTTAGTAGAATCAGACATGCCTTTCTGTGCACATGCCATTCTTGTGTCTTAGGGGAAAAAAAAGCCCTAATACCTTTTAACCTATGAAGTAATGACATAAGGTAAATTGATGGGTAAATTGATTTGGGTATTTTTTTCCATTTGAAATACCTGAAATATCTCCATGCTTTCCACATTTTGAAATATGTACTATATTCTCCACAGAAAACATCAAAATAACAAGCTGCAAGTTTATGAAACATGAATTATGCCCTTCTGCATGTGTGTTGTGATGAGTTGAAAGTGACTAATTTTTGTGATCATGCATGCATATTTATGCTGCTCTGTTGAAGTGCTCAAGTGTATTTTAAGCAAGAGCTACATTCTGTCGCTGCCATAGAACTCAGTGAAGATGTAGTTTTAGTTATGTGAAATAATTCACACTGACAGTAATATGGTCTGAATATTTGTCAGAGGCAAGTACTGTGAACTTTTAGTAACATCTGCTTATAAAGGAATCTTGTAAAGCTGACAAAGGAAATTGATACGCGTGAGATTTCAGCCAGCTGACTAAGAGGGGAGGAGGGTAGAAATAAGGTTGGTGCAGTAAGTTCAGAGTTTGTCTTCATAATTTAACATCCTTGCACCTTAGCAATTTTACACCTGCATGCTCTTCCTGATATTAACAAAAAAAAAAGTATTTCAGAAGCTTGTTCTTATGACTAATATACTGATTGCTTCCTGATGTTTCATTATGTCTTTCCATAGACAGTTCATTTCTAATTTTTCATTTGTGGAAAGGAGGAAGAGTACCAGTTTGTACATCAGAGGTAAGCAACTGTCTTAACTTTTTAAAAAAAGTACAGCCTACTTCTGAGACAGTGGGAAGCTATGAATTTAATAAATTGATTTTTAGAAAAAACTGTTGGTAGTAATTCCCCGCACATTAAGTTCAGTATCTTAACTTTAAGTTGTCCTTGGCAGCCCAGGTTAATCTGTAACACATTTTGGTTGGGTGGTGGAGAAGGAACTTCCTTCTTCATGTGCAAGCTTTGTGCAGCAATACCCTTTGGTTATTGTGGAGAGATTACTCCCTTCGGGGCAAGTGCTTCACCTGCTGAACACGGCACAGTAACAGAGGTTATGAAAGGCAGCAATTTAGATTATGCCATAGAAACTTGCATGTAGAGTTTAGATAAGCAAATGATAAGAGCTTGATTTAATAATTACAGGCTGATTCTACCCATGGGGTCCACAGTGTTTACTGTTCTCAGATAGTTCATATAGCTAATCACTGATTTCCTGTGTACAACTATTGCAGAGTATAAACTGGCAGGGGGGTGTGGACGCTTTCTCTTTTATTTGAATCCCTGTTGTTTCAGTGATGATACACAGTGGGATAATAGGGTAAAGCATTTTGGACCATTATTTCCTCAGTTGTTGCAGTTGTGAATCGGAGTCCTAACCACCTGAGCTGGAATTTGAACAAAGCTGTGGTTCAGGATCACTTCTGTCCTGCCAGAGTCTTTCCCTGGTATGACAGCTAATGACAGCTAACTAGAAAGTAATACTGGGCTGAAAGGCACGCACTGATATTTCAGCTGGCAACGGTCAAAACTAAATGTTATCCTGTTTACTGCTCATTAGTTGAGCTAAATGCTGGAACTATTTAACTCAAAGTGTATCAATATGGTATTTCTGCTGTCACCTCTTAGGGTACCATGGCTGCTAACTTATATTATTATGGCAAGTAAGACTCTGCAAAATGTAAGAAGTAAAATTCTTTGCTGAAACAAAATATATTGATTGAAAATCTCAGCATCTTTGTCTTCCCTTCCATTCATGTAGTTTTCCCATTTAATTTCCTTCTACTTACTTTTATTTTCCTGTTTAGTTAGGGTGCTTTTCCTCCACACCTGTTGTGGAGACTGATTGAATGGAGACTCTAGAAACATGGGGAGATTTTTAACTGGGTTTAATTCATTTTCTGCTTGAGCCCGTTTCAAACATTTTGATTAATTTTTCTTAACTGTAAAACAGCGATTATTTTCCTGGGCAAACTGGAGTGTCCGGTTTGCTGGACAGTGAAATCCCCTGCGCTTTTTCTCTCTGTCCTTAACTGAGATTTTCCTCTTCCCTCTTTTCCTGATGCTTTTTCACATCTTAGTTCCCTTGCCCTCATCTGCCCGTATTCCCAGTAGTAAGAATTCCTTGAACAACTCTGATGATACAGAAGAAGAAAAAAGTTCCTAGTTCACTCTTCTGTTATCAATGTTGGCTGATTGAAGAGAGAAAATGATGGCAGTATGCTTTTACCACAGTATGTAAGTAAATACACCAAGGAGGCACACAAAGTGAGTGCAGATTTTTATAACTGAGGCTTGAGATTTGTTTGCATTTGGTTCTGAAGTCTATATTTGTTCTATTGCATAGCGCAGAAGCTGGATGCTGTTTTACTCCTCTTAGCATTATAAAATGAATTACCTTCAGAGCAAGTAGTTGAGCTTACTGTATCTGCGAGATGTGTTACTGACTGCCCCTTAAAGTTGCTTTCCAGTTGTTTATTACAAGCTGACAGTAGAAAGAGTACTGTGTGCTATCAGCACGTAGCTTAGATTTGCTGATTGTCTCTTTTTTTTTTTTTTAAGATGTATATAGCCATGCTGAACTGTGTAGATTTCCCTATTTTGTAGGTCAGTTGGATGTTAGATGTTGCTCTGTGGCTGGTGTTCTCTTTCCTGTTCTGACAACAGAGCTAATGGGTATCAAGAGAAGAAAAACTAGTTCTGTTCAATCTCGTGTTTCCTTTGGAAAGTAGTAGAGACCCATGCTGTCAATACCTTATAGGCTATTCTGATGATTTCCCATGTGGAAAATCAGAGGAAAGGATGTAAATGGGAGCGCTAAGCTAATTTTTCTGTGTCTTTTAAAACAATGAGGCAGAGACCCAGGTGGTCTCCAGTGTAATTTACCTAAGAACAGAAAGAATTCATTGGAAAATGTGGTCCCGAGGGCCGGGAGACTGGGACGGGTGGACTAAGAGGAACTTGGGCTTCCCTTCTTGCTTGTTTTGGTGATTCTGTCCTTGTGTTCTTGAAGACCGGAGGGTGGGGGAACTCCAGCAAAACCCCTCAAAAATCCATGGTATGACTGCATGGCTTTTTCTTTTGGTTTTTTTTTTTTTTTTCTTGAGACCTTCTCCCTCTCGTTTCTCACCACCCCCACCCCACCCCCTTTTCTTTTTTCCCCTCTTTTCCTTGTAAGCAATATTCTCCAGTGTAGCCTCTCTTCTTTTGTTCTCTTCTCTGTTTGTGGTTGAAGTGGATGTGGAGATCCTTCACTGTTAGTGGTAAGGTCACTGAAAACTCTTCTGTCGCTTCCTTAGAGCAGCCCTATGTGGTGCATGTGGATGGAGAGAGCAGGTTAGCCACTCTGTGTGGTGCCTGACAGGAGGGACAGCAGCTGGTCATTCCCAGTGAACCCCAAGAAGCTCAGGCAGTACATGGAGTAGTTCAATCAGCAAACTTTTTCAGAAGACGCCTAGGCTAAACTAGTGGGAATGTAGAGTTATTGTATTCCTTCTGCCTGCACTGTCTCTCTAGTGTCTCATATATATTTTGAAAGCTGGCATAAAATAACATTCCATGTTTTTGTGTTTCTTCTCTTTGATCCAGCCTGTTTTGTGTGCATTGTCTTTAATCACTGCTTTTGCTTCACTTAGCCTCAGTGCTTGTTCTTCTCACAGGTGGCAATCTTGTGTGTTTTCTGTATCAAAGCTCTCTTTTATTAAAATTTCATTCTTTCTCTGCTATGAGATGATAATAACAGACAGAAGTATTAGCATGGTAACTTTATAGTATGATGGCAGTGAAAGGCTGTATGAAAATGGAGCTCTTCAAAGAGGGCAGGAAACATAACAAAGGATTGAATCCTCACAGACCTAACATTGAAAAACTGAACCTTTCCCTTAAAAAGCAGGAAGATTTGCCTCCTGCAGCAGCATGCAAGAGGGGAATACTGGGCAAAGACCCACAAGGTGATACTGGCAGGCAGCAGATATGGAGGAATGATTTCTGATGCCCGTTAAGTATTGTGGGGTTCACAGTGTTGTGCAGACCAAAGTAGCATCAATAATACCTTTTCAGAAGAAAACAGTTTAATTCTGGAGAGATTCATGTGGTTTGCATTTTGGTGGGAGGAGCTGACTTTATTCACAGCCAGCAGAATCTCTTGCCTTGCATCTGTTGTTAATTTTTTGGTAGGAATAGAAGTAGTAAAGCCTGTGTATTGCCAGGCACTGTACACAGACATAACATGGGGTAGTGGTTGCACAACACTGGGAGTGAAGAACAAAGCAAGAAAGTGATTTGTCTGAAATTATGCAGCTGGTTTGTGGCTGAGCTAGGGCCAAAGTTGAGTGTCTTAGTTTCTGACCAGTAGTTCATACTTGCTGTTTCTTTCATGTTTTGTCATAAGTTTTTTTTTGGGTTGGTGTTTTGTTGGTTTTTGTTTTTTTTTTTCATGAAGTCTCTGATGATACAGCAGTGGAAGGTGGTAGAAACTAACTCTCTCCTTCCTTTTTCCTTTGTCCAGGTTAAGTTGTATTTTCTGACATTTGAAGATCAAACAGCACCATGGCTCCATGAATTGCAAAACTGCAGAAAGTGTGGCAGCCCTCCCTACCTCCAACTTTCCTTTCTTACTGTGACATTCTTCTCGGATTGGTTTCATCCCTACTGGATGCGCAGTGGCCTGTCTTGGCATCAGGCCAGAGGAAGCCATTTGTGGATCAGGGAGAGCCATGGCCTTGAATTTGTACGTCTTCCACCTCTTCTATAAGTTCAAAGTGTTGGTGCTTGCAGCTTTGTGTTTGATGGTGCTATGGGCCACATTCAGTTACCTTGTGGACTCCAGACAGCATATTTCTAAAGCTAAGAGCATTGTGGAGAATTTCAGAAAGGGAAGTAGCCTGGAGGACAGTCAACAGGAAGAAAAGATTGAATCAATTGCAAAAGTTCCCACTGTGAAGTCATTTCAGGTTCACTGCCCAGCTCTGTCTCCATACCTGCGTAAGTCATGGTGCTTTCTTCTCCTTTCTAAAAAGTTACATCTGCTTTGGTATTGCTGACTTAGTTTTCTTCCTAGACACTTTTTCTGTGACACATACAACACAACCAGTTGCAGTAAGCGCTTCTGAGGGAGGAAGCGACTTGTGGCACAGAGTGCCTGTGCTGGGTCTGGCTGGGATAGCAGTCTGTATGGTGCCATGCTTTGCATTTGTGACTGAAACAGCTTTGGTGATGTATGAGTGATTTGGCTACTGCTGAAGTGTTTGCACTCTGTTGAGACTGTCTCTCTCTTCTCTGGCCCCCAAAATCTGTTAGGCTAGGGATGGGCAAGAGATTGGGAGTGGACACAGCCAGGACAGCTGACCCCAAATGACCAAAGGGATATTCCATACCATATGACCATTTGTCATGCTCAGCAATAAAAGCTCAGGGAAAGAAAGACGGGTGGATGTTCATGGTTACAGTGTTTGTCTTCCCAACAACTGCTATATGTGCTGGAGCCCTGCCTCCCAGGACGTGGCTGGACATCTGCCCGCCAATAGGAAGTAATGAGTTAATTTCTCTTTTTGCCTTGTTTGTGCTTGTAGCTTTTGCTTTTTTTGTTAAACTATCTTTATCTCAACCACAAGTCTTTTCACCTTTCCTCAATTTTTTGCCTTTTCATTATTAGATGTACTTTTGTCTCTGTCTTGACATTTGACTTCACAGCTGCATTGGGGTTAGCACGACTTACGGTGATGGTTCAAATAGGTGACTGTTTCCTTGGTTTGGCCATTTTTAGTAGTCTACTTTTTTTTGTGTCTTAGTATTGCTATCAGCACCAGACTTCTGCTTTGCAGTACCATGTCATTGTCTTCTTCCTCTTCCTTTTTGTGAACCCGATAAGGGGTTTGTTTGGGAAGCTGGATTCTTTCCCTCCTCTCTGATGTAGTCCAAAAAGCTGCTGTCTAGCTGCACACCCCCACCCCTACTCCCAAGACCTATTTGCTTAAGTAAAGGCACTGCGGCTGTAGCTGTCACAGTTGCCTGCATTGTTCTCTTTCATGGGTTCGCCAAGTCCGAGTCTGGAGGGGCTGGAATGATAGCTCAGTGCAAGAGAAGCAATGAAAATTTCATTTGGCTACAGAAAGCCTCGGTACATTTTATCTTACAAATTTATAGCCTTAAGCCTGTGATGCTTTTGTTCATGCTTTAAGTAGAGATGACTTTTCACAACCAGGCATATCTTTCCACTTCCCTCTCTTCTGCTTTGCACTGGCAGCCATTTCTGGACAATCTTCCTGCAGTAGGGTGGAACTTCTCTTGATTATTTTTTTCACTACTCTATGTTTAAGCAACTAAATGCTCAATATCCTCTTGTTTCACTGCCGGCATAATGGCCTTGTAGCGCTACTCTTCTCTTGGAAAGGTGGGGAAACCAATTGGGGCTTGAACCTGGGTTTCTTATGCTGGTTACAGAGTGCCTCATTTGGTGACTGGACTAGCTACAACCCGAAACATGTCAGGAAAGTTTCTTATGCTTCTCCTGCAGGAGGTGCCAGCAAACTCACCTTCAAAGCATCTCTCACACTAGAAGAAGTGCAAAAGGAGAACCCTCAGGTAGCCAAGGGCCGGTATCACCCTACAGAGTGCTCAGCATTGCAGCATGTGGCCATCCTCATCCCACACCGCAATCGCGAGAAGCATCTGCTGTACCTCCTGGAGCACCTCCACCCCTTCCTACAGAGGCAGCAGCTGGACTATGGCATCTACGTTATTCACCAGGTGAGGCAATTGTGCAGAGATGTGTTTGGGTGGAGATGACAACAGTGCTCTGCAGTCTGAGGATGGGCATCCTGCTGCCTCTGCTGTCTAACATCAGTCCTCCAAGCCTGCTTCAAACACTTCTACTTGTTGAGGGATGCAGTGGTGCATGCAGCCATTGCTGGTAGCACTGCAAGATCTCAGCTACTGTTGGCAAAGCTGGGAAGTATTAACAAAGTGTCTTTAACTGGTGCCTATTTCTCAGTCTTAAGTAACTTACTATTTCTGAGTTAGCATTCAAGGTAAGCTGCTTCTGCGTTACTAATGCAACTCACTTCTCTTGCAGGATACACATATGTAACTAGGCTGATGTGTTTTCTGCCTTTAAATTCGGAGCTGTTTGGATCGATGGCCTCAGTTTGTATCTAGCTCTCCTCTCCCATCTGCTTGCTGGCTGTCATGCTTAGTAAGCATGTGTGTATCCTGTGGTTGTACTTACTTCTGCTGTCTCAAACTAAACATGCCAGCCACTGCTTGTAGGTGCTTTACTTGCCCAGCAAGGGCTGTGGGAAGTAGTCATGGCAGAGCATTTGGTTCCTGAAAGATTTATTAATTTCTTTATCTGCATTCTTTCTAGCTCTGCTGAGTCAGGGGCTACAATTTGAGCATACAGACTTGGGCCACGTTGTCTTTCATCAAACGTTCTTATGTTCTGGCCACATAAGCTAAAAGCAGCATAGATTTCTCTTTTTTAATATGTTGTCTTGGTCTTTTATTGTGTTTGCTTTCTTTTATTGTCATTTACTTATGTGTTCTGCTTTGACTGTAAATGGATTTTTCAGATAGCAGGAGAAAAAGGTGATAAATTAATATCGTTTCTCTTCTCTTCTGTTTAAAGAGGCTAGAGTCAATTAACCAGTATGAAGCAGTGCTTTCTAGGTGAAAGCTTACACTTTTGCTCAATGGCATAGCAGAACAACAACAAAAGTCATGGCAGAATACATACTTTCAGTTGGTATAGACTGTTCTTTCATTGTTTAGAGTCATCATGTGGACTGTAGAGTGGAAAAACTGAGGGTTTTTTTTCTGCATTAGTATGTACTGTAATCGTACATAAAAGAGCTCACTCCAGCTAGCGAGCAGTGGTTAGCAATAAATCATTGGGAGAATGGGCATGCGTTCTTTTATTTATTGAAATATGTGAGGTTGAGAATAGCTGTTGTCATGTTAGCAAAATGTAATACGGAAGTATGAAAGCTCTGTCTGATGTGAGCAGCAATGTCAAGTCTGGACTTGCTCTATCAGAGTTTTTACTTGGGGGACTGTAAACTTTTTGTTAGCCTTTCCATGTAGATAGGCATACCCAAAGACAGGAAAGTGGGTCTAACAAAACTCTTTTATGGCAAATCCATTTTCACTCTCCATTTGTGATGTCATTAGTTAAGTATCTTTTGAGGAAAGAAATAGTTAAAAACAGAATTTAACTATTAAAATACACAGACTTTATTTTGGAGGAAGATTAAGAAATGGGGCTTTTATATTTTTTTCTCTGTGAGCTGTTGAAGGGCACACTCCACATCTCTTCTTTATGGGCGACTTTAACATCTCTTTTTAAATCATTTCTCTACACAAACTCGTGCATACATGAGCACAGTGCTGAAAAAAATGTCAGTTTGTAATCCCTAAAGGGTGAATAATTTCTTTCCCAATATACGTTTGTCATTGTGGTCAGTGTTCTTCTTACACAGAAGCAAAGAAGAACAATTCTCTCCTCAATAAAAGATGAGAGTAAACTTCGCTATTTGTTCAGACGTGGTCTAACATTGAAAACTGCCCTTCCTGGAAAGCAATTTTAGCTGTCATCGGGCTACCTTTGTGTGGGAAGTGGGCTGTGGTGCCTGACTGTACTGATGGGGGAGACAGAACTGTAGATGCTGCTGCTGAATTAGGCTGGGTTTGATACCCAATACAAGTTCTCTGTATGTTCTTTACCAGTCATCTGAGTTGTTCTGTTCATGCAATAACCTATGTTTTCACCATCAGGAGAAGATTCTCTGATGGGTATTTTCATATACAGGACACTTTAAAAAACAAAGCAAAACACTCAGAAATTTGACATCATAGATTTTTGGGTGAATTGTATCTTATTTTCTCTTGGAAAATTCATTCCCTGACTGAGAACAGAAGCATTAATTATCCCTCTCTTAATTTCTCAAAACAGGCACTGGGCTGTGTTTCCCTAACTGCAGGTATGGAGCCATAAGTCCCATAAATCTTCTTTGTGCAGGTGCGGATGGCTGTTGCCATTTCAACTAATTGCTGCTTCAGAGCAGAGCATTACTTTTTAGAATGATAAAACTTGCTTTGTATACAACTGCTTTTCCCTACAGCTATCCTTCTCTGTCTGGGGAAGCCAGCTTCTTTGTCATCTTCCATGGAGCCTTCTTCAGTCCAGGCAGCTTCTAGCAAATGACCCCTTTCTCTTGAAAATTTTTTTTTATTCTTTACCTCAGGTACATCAGGTTCCTAGCTCTGGAAGATCACTGTCCTGTCAGTTTCTGGGAGCACAGGGCTTGGCTCTCTGACTCCCAGGTGGAAGCTTGAGGCAACTCACCTTGTCCTCAGGAGCAGAAAGCCTTCTACAAGCTGGCATGTGTGTACAGCCCAGTAAAAAATAAATGGCAAGATAAGCACACCTGTTGTTCCAGAGTGAACAGTGTGGTGGTGAGCTCACAAAACTGCCAGGTGTGTGTATACCGTTGCTTTGAAAAGCAAAGATGCACTAACTTACAGCAAAGGCAAACAACGAAGACTAGTAAAAGTCAAGTCAAGCTCTGTGCTGTGGGGAGTCCCTGTGCAGCATTATAATTAGGTTATAGACAGCAGTTAAAAATGAAGGAACCTGCTTTTTATTTCCCACTCTGCCACCTACTGTGTGACCTAAGGAAATACAGTGAAGTCTTTAAGCATCACTATCCTCTAAACTGAGTGGACAAGCATAAATCATCTGTGGCAGATGCTCTGACATCTAGAAACCAATTAGTATGGTAGTAATGGTTTGGGCTATTTTTTTTTTGTTGTTGTTGTTGATTTGATTTGGGTTGTTTGTTCATTATTTTTTTTTTTTTTCAACTTCCATAAGCCTTACTGACACAGTTGTATGAAGTGCCAGTTTCTAAACTGTTTACTGATACCTCTTTTGTTATGTAGCCTGGTGGGAACTCCAGGACAGGCGCAGCAATAGCACTAAAATTGCATCATGCAGCACACGTACTTCTGGTGCCCAGTAACCATAGGCTCTCCTGGCCCTGGTTGTGTTTGTTCATGACAAGGAGAGACTGAAGAAACCTTTTGCATCATTGGCAACTCTCATGCTGTATCTAATGTTACAGGGTAGCTCTTTGTGTAGTTACTGCTGTAAAGGCTGTGACGCACGAATGCAGTTGCGAACTATGCAATTAGAACAAATGCCCAAGAGCAGTTCTGGTTCAAAGGTTTGACACCTTCTTCAGAGTTTTGTTTTTTTTTTTCCCATTCTCTTCCACAGGCTGGCAGCACCAAATTTAATCGAGCTAAACTGCTGAATGTAGGATACCTAGAAGCCCTAAAAGAAATGAACTGGGACTGTTTCATTTTCCATGATGTGGATCTGGTGCCAGAAAATGACTTTAACGTTTACATGTGTGACAAACAACCAAAGCACCTTGTAGTTGGCAGGAACAATACTGGATACAGGTAGGAAACCAGGAATATGGAAAGAATACCAACTGGGAAATGTCACGTTACTGATAATGTTCCTCTTCTGAGGGAGCTGTACACTGGTATCTACCCTTCCTTCTGACACCAGATTTCTGGTGGTAACACTCCACCTCTCTGGAGCGCCTTCTGACAAAAGGTAACGGTACAGACATCTCTGAAGTCATCTTCGTGGTCACTTGTACAAATGATCATTGTCATCATTCTGGTTTCTGGGGTGAGGTAGAGGGTGGTTTGAGAGGAAAGCAATGTGGCAGAGGTTGTGCAAAGACCTTCTGTCAAAGCTAGAAATACATTTCCGTCTCCTGGTCCTGTGATTTGACAGTGTGATATTGCGCTAATAAAACTTCCCGCAGCTTTTGCTGTTGAAGAGGTAACTTCTGCTATTGAGAGCTCAAGTGTGAGAATTTGCCAAGGGATAGGGTTGTCCTTTGGGTATTTGGCAGTGTTTAATACAGGCTTGTTCTGATTTTTAAAGGGGTCCACTAAGTGATAGTTTGATATAAATAATCCAAAGTGAAAAGTCAGGTTCAAGCCACCTCAGAGAACAAAAGGCTCCTGAGCTTGGTGAATTTAATGGCTAGAGTGGTTTCATTGAATGTGGTTTCTTTCAAGAGTCACCTCTTATGTCATCTCACTCTAAATATTAATTAGAAGTGGGCTTTTTTTTTTGATCTCAGAGTACTTTGAAGTAAAGCTCTGCTTCGCTTTTGGGTTTCCTTCTTTAAATATATGAGAAAGAGGTGGGATGTGCAAATCCTTATGCAGAATAATACTCACTTTCCCGTTATTCAGTGAAAATGGGAACAAGCGCAAATGAACTAGGCTTGTGACAAGTTTTTGAAGCACTGTGCCTTGCACAGAGAATGCTGAGGGATACAGGTTAGTTGTGCACCAAAGCAACTGAAACACTGGTTTGCAGGTTAATTGACAGGCAAATAGAATCCAGGCTAACAACATGGCACAAAGCTTGAGGTGCTTTACTTAACCTCCTGTGCCTTAGTTACTGAAAGCGTTTAGCTTAGCTAAGCGTGCAGATGGATTTTTTTGCTTTTACTAAGGGGTCTTCTTACTATTTATTTCATCAGGTTTCTCCTGTTTGTGAAAGGAGCTGTTAGTTATGGTGGGCTTTAAGCTTTGGCTTTAAATAGTTTTACACTGACAAAATGTTTTTGTTGTGAATCCCTGAATCCCCTACCCTAGGGTGTTGTGAATACCCTGCACCAGTATTCACTAGGATAGTGGTGGTTGGATTCAGATTCATACTTTTCTGTGTCACTGCCTCCATTTACACATCTGTGAAGCGGGGATAATAATGTTCTACTTCCAATGGAATTCCTGGGTATATTTGAAGGAATTCAGATCCTGAGCTCAAGAATGATACCTAAACTGAGCGAGACCACAGGTTGAAATCCCAGTTGTGTGCCCTCAGTGTTTTGCTTAGGCTGCGGTGAGCATGCTGAGACATGTTCAGATGGGGTTGAGAAAACTGAAGTCATACATGGTCTGCATTAACACAAAATGTCCTGGGCAGGAATGTGGGTTTTGTGGGATATTTGGTTTTCTTCCAGGGAGATATCCTCTATGGTGATGAAGTGCATGCTAATCTTAGCAGCCATGCTCTTCTGGAGAGAAAATACCTTATGTTAGTTATAAACTACAACTTGAGTTTAGATTCTTTAGGAAAAGGTTTATATATTCAAACTTTGAAGGTAAGGGTGGAAAAAACTTTCCTAGCGTAGCTAAGCTATTTCACTGAGACCAGCACAACATCCTTTCCTAATGATCATTTCTATTGCATGGTTTCTCCAGTCCAGTTTTAAAAATCCCAAAGGAGCTGATAATCTCTTGTCCTCAGGGGAGAGGTGCAATTTTTACAGATGATGTCACCTGTGAGCAAGATATGCCTAGGCCCTGCCAGTTCTGCTCTGCCTGAGGAGGGTTGAATGAGCAGCACTGTCCTGGTTACAGCTCTGGCTCCTTCAGTGTCTGCCTCTCCAGTGGTGTAGGGGAATTACGGGGAGCATAAGCAAGCACTGGGGTGCATATATATATGTGTGGGTGGGCAGTCAGTTCCCAAACCCTACCAGGCTGCTGTAATGGGGAGATGTGGGACTGTTGGTGACTGGCAGTGCAGCCTGAAAGCATGGCTTGGGAAGGCTCTTCCCTGCTGTTGCTGTTTATGGGACCTCCTTGCTGTGCATTCTACTTGTTCACTGCATTTCTCTAGAGCACAGCAGAAGTCTCAAGGTGGTGATGCATAATTAAAATTTGATGGGGCCTCTGCTACCTTGTGGTTGGTCTTCTCTAGGAGAGAAGATAAAGGGGAGAGAGCAAGGAAGAGTGAAAATTCTAAAGGTAGAAAAAAACACAGGTAGAGCACGAGAGACTGCATCTGTCTTGAACCATCCTTTTTTTTAGTTATATAGATAACATCATCTTTTTGGGAAGTATATCACAATCCCAGCAAATACCAGTTGAAGGTGTTTTTCAGACAACTGGAAGAAGCTTCATGTATACAGGCCCTTGCCCTTGTGGAAGACTTTAGTTATGTTGGTATCTGCTGTAAGGGCAACAAACCAGGACACAATCCAGGAGATTTCTGAAGTGAATTGGTAACTGTGATAACACGGGTGATCACAGCTGAGGAAGGGTGGTATTCTGCTGAACTTTATACTTGCAAACAAGGAAGAACTCATCAGGGATGTGAAGGTCAGAAACAAGGAGGGAATGAGGCAAATAGCAAGATCACAACCCTGGACTACTTGTTCAGGAATCTGCTTGGAAGAATCACGTGGGAGATGGCCCTGGAGACAGGACGGGTTCAGGAGAGCTGATAGATCTTCAGGGATTGCCTCCTTCATGCTCAAGGATGGTTCATTTCTATGTGCAGGAAGTCAAGCAAAGGTGGATGGAGGCCTGCATGGATGAACAAGGAAGGTGGAAGCAGAGTCAGGTGACTTGTGAGGACACAAAAGATGCTGTCTAAGCATGCAGGGATGGCGCTAGAAAAACCAAAGCCTCTCTGGAGTTGAATCTCACAAGCAACATGAAGGGCAATGTGAAGGGCTTCTACAGGTACATCAGCTACTGGGAAGAGCAGGGAAAATGTGTACCCGCTGCGTGGCAGGGGACTTGGTGACAAAAGACAAGAAAAAGGCCAGGATACTCAATGCCTTCTCTACCTTGGTCCTTACTGGCAAGATTTGCCTTCAGGATTCCCAGGCTTCTGATACCAGTGGAAAAGTCTGTACGAAGACTTACTCTGATGGAGGAGGATCAAGTTAAGGAATACTCAAACAAACTGGGCATGCGCTGTAAAACCATGTGACCTGATGGGATGTATCCATGAGTGCTAAGGGAACTGGTTGCTGTCATTGCGAGGCCATTCTGTTATCTTTGAAAGGCCGTGATGATTACGGGGGGTGGTTCCTGAGGACTGGAAGAAAACAAATGTCAGTTCTATCTTCAGGACAAGCAAGAAGGAAGATTTGAGGAACTACAGGCTAGTCAACGTCACCCTTTAATCCCTGGGAAGGTGATGAAGCAAATCTCTTCACAAATCATGCCTGACCAACCTGATGGCCTTCTCTGATTTGACTAGCTTGGTGGATGAGGGAGGGGTTAGTGAATAATGTTTATGTTGACTTAAGAAGACTTTCAACACTGTCTCCCATAACATCCCCATTGACAAAGTGATGAAGTATGGATTAGTAAATGGATAGTGAGATGGACTGAAAACTGGCAGAACTGCTGGGCTCAAGGACATCGCTGAAGTCCCATGCACCTTTGCTTGTCTGGCATGTAAATTGACATAATGGATACTGTCTAGCCCTGGCAATTTGTTCATCTGTTTAGATTCACATACATCTAGAAATCAAAATGCAATCAGCAGCCATGTGCACATCACCTCTGAAGTTGGCAGTGGCAGTGCAGTAGGGGCTGTGTTGTAATGCTTACCGTAAGGCCCAAGAAAGAGGACAGTATCATAAAATGCAATTAGCAAAATGGTAGAGGAAAATAAATAAACATGGTATGTAAATAGTTTTTTAAAGTAGATGCAGTTTCCAGGAGAAGGAAGGTAGAAGTTAAAAATTAATCTCCTTCAGAGCTGAAAACCATTACATTAGGTTACTAAGTAACGTGAACTGTACCTTACCTTGGAATTGGTCCTGCAATATCCTGTAGCACATGCCCCTTTGCTGTGATATGACTTAATTTCAAGTTTTTCAGATTCAGCTGTAAGATAGTCAATGGCCTGCTGTCATTACTACAAAGCTTCCGCTATATTAGTGTAGCTTTGTTCCTTTTCTGCTCATCGGAGTCCTTGAGGTGAAGTGCTTTTTGGCTGGCAAGGGGAGTCGTGTAAAGAGAAACTACAGGGCGGCTACGTTCTCTCAGTTGGAGAGTTGTGGTCTAAAGCAAATCACCAACTTTTTGTGAAAAGAGTAAGAGAACAAGACCTTCTTCATGGCTTTGTGCACCCTTAACTCTGTAAAAGACAGGTCTAGATCAAGAGTTTCAGTGGTATTTTTATTGTTGGTAGAACTTGACTTTGAATTCTTCATTCTCACCTCTCATGTACTTCTAGGTTACGGTACAAAGGATATTTTGGAGGTGTAACTGCTCTAACAAGAGATCAGTTCTCCAAAGTGAATGGATTCTCTAACAACTACTGGGGTTGGGGTGGAGAAGATGATGACCTTCGAATCAGGTAATAAATAAATAAAAGGCTAGAGGGAAATGGGTGTGAGAGGGGGACACATGGATTTTAAAAACAAAAAAACCCAAAAAACGGTGTGACTTCACAGCTAGCCTCCAAAGGTGGAACGCTACAGAAGCCTTTAATTCAAAAGGGTATCGCAGTGGGGATTTGGAGTGTGAGATGCAGTTCTGTGAACACCTTTCTCTTTAAAAAGGTTAGGCATGCCTGAGCCTTGGTCTTCCTCCTGACAGCACTGTTGGTTTGATGTAGGGTTTGTTATAGGGTTTTGGGGTTCTTTGGGGGTTGGGTTGGTTTTGTTTGTTTTTTGTCTCGGCCACACAGTATTTGTATTCTTGCTTGGAAATTGGTTATAACCGAAATCATAAGATTGAAAACTGGAGTGCGATTTGCCAAAAAGACACAAAGTTCCAATACTTTGCAAGAGCGTGCTAGTGTTTTGGTTTTGGTGGGATCGGGCTTTTTGCATTGACTACCATGATTTACTCCAAGCAGGGCTTAGTTTGTATGTGGTTGGTGTTGATTGTAGTTAAGATAGTGAATAACTTGAATTTTAGAAAGACTGTATGTATATGCAATACGCCCTTTGCTCTTGTTAAAACTAATTTTTGCAGATATGCCTGTCAAAGTAAGAGAAACTTGTTAGTTTGAGAGGTTTAGCGGGACAAAGAAGTCAACACAATTTTTATGTTGATCTTTTGCCCTTTGCCTAGGAGGAAACCTCTAATTCTGCATTGCTGTTAGTGAAGGAAGAAAAAAACCCCAACAACAAAAAAAACCCCACAAGCTCTGCTGGCCAAGCCTGTCAATCTGTAACTTGGGTGTACTCTGTCATTCTCAAGTGTTTATCCTTTTCAATTGCTTAAATATGCAATAAACATAAACCTCATATACGTGGTGATATTAAATAACTACACTAGTAAAATCAGTGTGTTAAATTTAGGAACTTCCGAATTAAAGTTTTTCTCTGTGTCAGTTCAGCAGATCAGTCAGCTGTATCTCAAGAAATCTAAAAGGTCTACCGGTGACATGGATTTCTGTCCCTTCTTAATCGCAACTTTTTTTTTCCCCCCCTCTCTACCCCTAGCTAGACACACCCACGTCTTCTCTCTGACTTCTTGGAAGCTGGTTTTTATAGGGGATGGCTTGGTACCATCTTATTACCCAGCTTGCTGAGAAGTGTCACAGTTAATGAGCAAAGAAAGGTGATAGTGGTGTTCTTTCAAATGTGCTGGTGGGCAGCAGATCTGCAGGATTTACTGAGGGTCTCCCCAATGTTTGCAAGTGGCTGGAATCAAAAGTGATGCTTGCTTGTGCATGGCAGCTCATAACTTTGCAGCTGTTGCGATCTTGGTGTGGAAACCAAATCATATGACCCAGGCTGCACACTGCAACTGGACTTGGCTCATGCCTTTCCTCTTGGACTGGGCTGGTTACAGAGTTTGCAGTGGGTAGGTAATGGAAACCTTGCTGTCTCAATGGGTTGTTGTACAGAGATCCCTGCAGCCTTCCTCTGCAAAGACAACAGATGGCAGCATCTCCTTCAGTATCTTCAAGAACTTGGGGCTGGAGTGCTCTAGGTCCTACTGGTTTTTCTCTGAGCTAAATGTGATGGCTTCTCTTGGGCCCCCTCCTAAGGGCATCACAAAGAGATTTGCAGATCACTTGTTTGATAATTTTCAGCTACAGTCATTGGAAAGCTGTAGGGGCTCAGTTTCTTCAAATCTTGGTTTCTTTCAGCTGCTGATGTGACTAGCAAAGACCTGAGCTATTCCTTAATTCCACTGTAATGAAGTTAACCCTTTCTGCTGACAGAGCAAAATTGTGGTGCTCCACAGATGTGCTTAAGGCTAAAAGCTCCAACCAAGTGTCTCATGTCAGATGCTTAACTCCATGCTTGGGGCTCAGTGTTTCTGGCACTGTTCTCAGAAATATTTTTTTTTTCATGTCAAATAAAAATTTGCTGCTGTCTGCCAACTATTAAAAAAGAAAACAAGCTTTTTTTTTTTTTTAAGTGGAGAACTATCAAGTATAGGGGCTTTATTGTAGGACTTGAGATGAACTTCTTGCAAAATGTGTCGAATCTTTCTACAGACCTCCCAGGTTTAACAGGGGGCAGTACAAACTAGACCAGACAATACTAATTTAAATGTACTCTGTTGTGTAATGTGTGCTTAAAGCTCTATATGATCTCTACTGTAGTAACTACCTGCCTTTGTTCAAAAGGAGGTATCTGTCACTCTACTGGACCTGTTCTCCAGAAATACAACTCTGAGCCCCATTTCTCTGGAAAATGGGTTGTGGAAGAGATGAAGATGAGTTTCTCTGTGCTTGTTTCAATGGCATCTACAAGAGATGAAATTTCCAAATGTTGGGGTTTTTTTTCCTTAAGAGCCTGTTTATAGGTGGCATCTTGCTCATGGCACTATTGTTTCTTCCAGGGTTGAGATGCAGAAGATGAGAGTGGTGAGGCCATCTGCTGATATAGCCAGGTACACGATGATCTTCCACAAACGAGACCATGGTAATGAGGAGAATAGGGAGAGGTGAGTCAAGAACAGTATTCTACCTTGCATCGTCTTGGTATGTGGCTATGAGCCAGGCACCTGAGGGCTAAGTTCGTTGCTCTAGGCCAAATAGGCATTTTGTGGTACCCAGAAGCTCTGGGGGACACCCCTGTGACACCACTGTTCACAGCTGGCAGCTGCTGTTCTGTACATGACATCTGCCTAGAATCAACTGAGTGATGTTCCTTGGAAAGTTAGAAAGTTGTAGTTACATAGCTATAATTTGAGCATATGATTTCAGAGATTAAACCAAAGGACTTTTTTCCCCTATGTCTGACTGTCTATGATGAGGACAGGAAAAGTATGACTTTACATTCCCAGTAGATACAGAACGGCTGTAGCTCTGCCTGTACATTTACTAGTAGTGGGAGAGAGCTCAAAACTCCTTTCCTATGCATGTCAATGAAGATTTTCTCCTCTTTGTCCTCAGGATGAAGCTTCTACATCAGGTATCTAAAACGTGGAAAACAGATGGGCTGAACTCTTGTTCATATAAACTGCTTTCAGTGGAACATAACCCTTTATACATCAACATCACAGTAGATTTCAGCGTGCAGCCGAAGATCTCATAAGGGTGAGCACCCACGGGTTACAGGAAATGGCAACAGGTTGTGGTTGCTGTTACAGCAGATGACTCCCAGCACTCTGCTTGAAAGAGTACTTCAGTAGCACAGAAGAAAGTTTTTCTTCACAGCATCTAATTGGTTGTTTGAGAATTTCCTTTTGTGAGGACTGGAGATAGAGACTGACCTGAGGGACAGGTCCTCATGTTCTTCTATGCACTTTCTGCTGAGACATTTGCAAAAGTGTCCTTGTTTGGGCTGATCCAGTGGAAGGACTTAAACTAAGTCTCCTGAAAAAAGTTTTGTTCTTGCAACTACTCCTAAACTCCTTATTTGTTGTAGGGGAAAGGCAGCCTAGCACTGCTCACACGCCCATGACTTCAAAAGTTTTTTCTCATTAAAAGCACAAGAATTTCCCACCAACTTGCTGAGAAGAGCTTTTTTTTTTCTACCCTGATGAAAAACTGCTTATGTGTGAGGGAAGGGCAATAATGGTAATAGGTGAGAAGATGTTAAAAATCTGTCAATAAATACACTCAATTGAATTCAAAGTCTTCTCTTGTCATTCATGAGCTCAGCTCACGCTGCCGTGGGACTGCTGAAGCATCCTGTGGCAAAATCAAAGTCTCAGTTCTGCAGGTTGTGTGTTATTCTGGAGATAGCTGGAAGGAAATGCAGTGGCCAACTATGTCAGATGGAGTGAAATTGGTATCCACAGTTTCTAATGCTTTGGGCCACACTGTTAGCAGGGTGCCTACCCAGTCCCATTTGTGATTCTTGTTTTAGAAGATTGGTGAGAGTCTGTGGTTAACTAACTGTTCCAGTATGCTGCAGGATTTCTGCTAAAATCTTGATTAGAGCACTTTCCTTGCCTTACTGCATGATACCTAACTGTCCTTGCACCTGCTTGTTGGATATGCATCCCATTCAAGGTAGATGGGAAGCCAGGGTTGGGAGAGTTTCTTTCAGGAAAATACTACTACTAAATGTTGAAGAATGGTTCTCTAGCTGGTTGACACATTATTCCAACTGTTGAGAAGGCTGAAGCTTTAAATACATTTTTAGGTGTTGGTGGGATAGATGCAGCTTTTCAGTGAACAGGGAATTTTAGTATCTATAAGGAACAAACAAAATTACCCTGTGTCATGCTTGCAAAATAATTGCACCTGGCAGGCAGTGCTACTGGCTGATTTTATAGAGAAAGAAAGATTACAGAAAGGGGAAGGTCTTGGGCAGACTGTGTCAGTCTCACAGTCAGGTATGTACAAGTGCATTCC